GAAATACTCCTGAAGACCAAAATAAAAATCAGTTTGGAAGGCGAAGTGTGGCATCAGAGTGAGAATTCCAGAAATGTAGCTGCTCCATAATGTTCAAAACAGACCAGCTCAGTTGTTGACCTCCGTGCGCAGAGGCCTGGCCCAGTGCAAGTGAAAAAATGGTGTGTCCTTGGGTACAGCATCACACCCTTCACCATCTCAGACAGGGTCCCATCTTCCCAGACTCCCTTTCTGCTCACCTAACTCTATCTTCTCAGGACTCAGCTGGGACCACTCAGCTTCCGGGACACTCTCCCTACTTAGCTCTGCCTCTCCCACCCTCTCCCATACCTCCCCCAAAGACCATATGAGCTTCCAACCCAACTCACCCCTTTAGCTCAGCTGTCCAGAGGGCCTGGCTCTTCTTCAGGGAGCATCATGCAGCCTGATGGAAGAGATGGTCGCAGTGCATGTAGGTTCCATGGAGGCCGGAGTTAGACCCTGTTAAGATGGGCCCGGGGACATCAGCACTTTGCTCAGAAGAGCAATATCTCTCTTCTTCTTGCACCCTCCCATCTCACTGATATCCCTGAAGTACCTGCTCCTCCAAGGAGCACTCAGGGGTCTGCATCCCATTCCAATGGTAGAGAACCCACATTCAGGCCAGCCTGGTGCCCAAGGACAGTGAAGAAAGAGGCTGGGGATGTAAGAAATGGGGGAGGGGCTTGGGATGCATTCTGGAAAAGTTAAGAACCAGAGGATTAAGGGGGAATTAAAATATCTAGGTATGATCCAGAGAATTTGACTTGGGATCTTCACGAAAGGAAAGCACTGGGTAGCTGAGGCCCAAAGGGCAGATTTGGAATCTTCCCTTTCAGTGGCCAGACATTAACGATGCCTCAGATATATGGCATATTGACATGCATCCCCAGCGCCTCTGTGTACCCCAGAATAGAAGAGGATAGGATAGGATAGGATAGGATAGGATAGGATAGGATAGGATAGGATAGGATAGGATAGGATAGGATAGGATAGCATAGGATAGGATAGGATAGGATAGGATAGGATAGGATAGGATAGGATAGGATAGGATAGGATAGGATAGCATAGGATAGCATAGGATAGGATAGCATAGGATAGGATAATAGACTAGAACTGATTTTCACAGACCCAGCTCAAGAAGTGAAACTTGGGAAAGTAAAATTACACACACACACACACGCACACGCACACGCACACGCACACGCACACGCACACACAGCAGAAAATTGCTCAATAGACTGGAGCTTTACTCCCACCAAGCATTCCCACATTCAAAGCAAATGCCGATTGCTTCATATGCTTAAGAAGTACGAAAATAAGAAGAAAAAAATAAAAATATATGAGAAAGCAGGGCTTGGTGATACATTCATGCAATTCCCAATATTCAGGAAGCTGAGGCAGGAGGATCACTGTAAGTTTGAGACCAGGCTAGGCTGCACAGGGAGTCTTTGCCTCCAAAACATGGGAGGAGCTGAACTTTGGCTCAGTGGTGAAGAGCACTTGCTGCTCCCAGGAGAACCTGAGCTCGGCTCCCAGCACCCACATCAGGTGGTTCAGAACCACCTGTAACTCCAGCTGCAATGACCTGATGCCCCTTTCTGGCCTCCTTGTACATCTGCAAGAATATATACTAACAAACAAGCAAGCACATATAAAAATAAATCTTGAAAATATATCCCACAAGGTGACTAATCACAAGGCCTACCAAGGGGAACTCAATATTATAATGGACATAATGGACATGTTGTATTTGATTATTACAATATAATAAAATATATACATGGACTTTTTTTAAAAACCGTGTTCGTTCTGGTGTCTGCTTATAACATTCATAGCCTCTCTAAGAGATTAAAATCTTCAATTACTTTTTGAGACTCATTTCCCTGAGATGGGGTGTAATATAACATAAAACACAGTTTTTGCCCCAGACTGATCATATATCCCAGGTAAGGGCAATAGGATCCTATGAAGCAAATTTATGTCTTTATGATTTGGTTTCTAAGATTCGATTCCTTTTCATGCTCATGTGTATTATGAGTCCCTATGTTTGTCCTGCTCCTCATTACCTGTTCATCACACACACACAAAGGGCACACACGGTGGGAGGAGCCTACACTGCCACCAGGTGGAGACAGAGTGCTGTGGGACCGTGATGGATTCAAATGCCACACATTTTTAATTCTTATTTCTTGTGTCATGGGAGCGCTTACTGAAACAGCGTGATGCAAGCAAGCTTTACATACAAACATCTAAAAGGGAATTTTTGCAAGGGTTTCACAAATAAGAAGTGTTGGGGACACTTTCCCGTTGATCGCTCTATGTTCCCTTTTTCCACAAATACCTTTGGGAGAAAAAAAAAATTGCTGGCTCTGTAGGCTGCTTAAGTGTGAAACTCTCAAAATCTCCCAGTTGTGTCTGGAAAAAAGTTCCAAAGCCCAGTTTTAGGCTAGGACTCTCTCCAGACCTGTCTTCCCACCATGAGAATGGTGAGAGGTAAGGATGTGTTTCCATTGACAGAGTGCTTGCCTGGCTGCACAAAGCCCTGGGGTCCATCCCAGCTCCAGATAAAGAGAACATAAAGGTCAGAAATTCAAGGTCACCTGCAGTTTGAGGCCAGCTGGGGCTGCAGGAGACCCTGCCTTGAAGTAAAATGAAATAAAATCAAGAGCAATGAACGGAACTGGAAGGCCGCTGATAGGGAGGTTACAGAGAGGAGGCTGTCTGTCCCGGGACGCCCAACGCTGTTCCACTTCCGGGCAGAGAAAACAAGGACTGTTTCCTCCAGACCTTCTTTTCTTTCCACTGGACGGAGAAACGCAAGGGCCACTCCATCCGAGGAGCCTCACAATCCACATGCAGGAGTCCCCACCCCCATCCCCAGGGCGAGTCTTCGCTGCTCTGCAAGAGGCAGGGAGCCTGGGGGTGGCCTGGGCTGGTGCAGTGACCATGGGAGCAGGTGGCTCATCACGCCAGGAGACAGACAGGACCACTCAGCAGCCTCTGGTTCATCCTGTCAACCCCCTGAGAAGCTGAAGCTGTCTAGGTCTCCTCCACCTCCCAACTGAGGCTCCCTAGAGACAAAGACTGAGAGAGACTCAGCCCCACCTGGTTGGTAGAGGTTTGACTGTGAGCCCAAGCAGCAGCAGCTGAAGCTTCTGGAAGGATCCATGAGCCTAGCTGAAGAAATAGCTCACTTCTCACGTCTCCTCAAGAAGGCACAGAGTTTGTGACTTCGAATCAGGAGCGGAATAACCATACAGGCTCATAACTCTCTCATAACTGAGAGAGAAATAAGATAACTAAAAAAGGGCACTCCCTGGGGGAAGATGAGAACGTTAACATACTTTTTGGAATTGCTTCCCCAAGCAGTCTATACTCATTCTATCCGTTTCCTGTGCCCTTTCCCATAGTCGGGCTCAATCATAATCAAGCTTTTCTTCAGGACAAGTATTCTTTCTCGAGTCTCTGCTGTCAGGCACAGTGGTGCTCACACATCCTGCACTGCACACCTGCCACCTGCTTGTGATGGAGGAAACAGGAGGACACATGACATCCTGAAAAGCCAAGACTGGCTTTGAGTCACCTCCAAACTCTCCAGGCACACAGCGGATGCTGGTCGCGCAGGCATGCGGCACTGCCCTGGTGGGGCCTATCTCAGGCGCTTCAAGGAGACTGGGGCAGGCGGAGGGGCAGTACTGAAGCCAGGAGAGGGTACGGACAACAAATAAAGGCCACAGCGTGGCATGGGCAAGGACAGCACCTGTATTTACCGCAGTGGACGCAGGGGCCTCAGGACAGCTGAGACCTATGGTTGACGTGGAATGAGCAAGCTCTAACTTACCATCGTACCGTGGAGGAGATGTATGTTAAGTGAACTGCTGAGCCTCTTTAAGAACAGGAGTCTTCGGACATCAAGACCATTCTGTGCTCCTGACAGACTCTCTGGCTCAGACCTATCTTGGCAGACCATAAAGCAAAGGCCACCTGGATAGGATGGCTCAAAGGCCAGGCATTCTGAGCACAGGAGAATTCAGTATTAAGTCTGTACCAAATTTCCAGTAGAAATCTACAGCCTTGAAGTCATTCTCTAGCATCCAGCTGGTGACCTTTGGCATGGAGACTAGGGTGGTTCTCCGTGGAGAAAGAGGGGTGGAGGCGTTGTTCTGGGGAGTCTTGGGCACAGGAGAGCACAGAGCCAGTGGGTTCAAAGGCAAACGTTTACTGTCTAGCCCTTCTGAGGAGAAAGAGTGAGACAGAGGAGGAGGGGAGAGCCATCTGAGAGAAGGCTCAGAGCCTGGCCATGGGTCTGTAGTGAGCAGGAGGGAATGGAGAGCTTTTAACTTCTGACCCCTTGTCTCCATACGTTCAAGTAACGCTACAGGATTAGACTTCCCACTACCTCGTGCTTCTTGGCTGTTCTGTCTGGCTCATGGGAAACCAGATCCCCTCCCAACAGTGTTCAAGCAAGTGGGAATGGATAGGACACTTCTGTATTCCTGAGTGACTGTTCACAGTGTCTCCGGCTAAACCTGGGAGTCAACAGTCATGTGTGGGTGCTGGGTCAACTCACAGAGGCTCATGCCTCTGTAGGACCTGGGAATCCCCGGGGATGAAGGACGCGAAGTCACGAGGCAGACCAGAGAGAAGCTGTCTGTGAATGACGGAAGGATCAGGGTGCTGCCACAGTGCGCCTGGCTGGTGAGATGGTCAGAGCTCAGGGCCTCGGTCAGAACCTGGCAAGGAGGAAAGCTTCCCTGGCAGCCTCCAAGAAGGGGGTTAGTGACCAGTGGTCTCGGTCAGAAGTGGGAACCAGGGCAGTCAGGGCAGACACATAGTCAGAAATGGAGTGCTGTCTTCCAAGTCCACAGAACGGAGAGCTGGGATGACTGTGCCAGCGCAGCAAGAATTTGTCCTGGGTTGCCCCCATAAGTCAGACACACTTCAACACTCTATATTTAGAGTATTTATTTTAACACTCACAGAAATGTCATGAAGTTCCTCATGAATTTAAAATATACGAGCACCGAGAAGATGAGGGTCTCAGCCAGTGTCAATGCTGGTAAAGAAAAGAATCGGGGTTGGGTAGGGGTGTCTGGCCCCAATATTGCCACACTTAACTGTGGGAGGGCTGATGAATGATCAGACTTTAAGGTGTAAAAAGCTGTAAAAGCTTTCAGGGTGAGGGGGATCAAAGCAAGAGTGAGAAAGAAGGTGTGTGTGTGTGTGTGTGTGTGTGTGTTGAGCTTGGCGGGGCCATCCTTACACACTGAGCCATCAAGCTGTCCCTGGCATCAGTCTTTTTAAAGTGTTTTAAGTATTTCCTTACGTGCATATGTTGTGTATTAAATGAGGTCCCCTCATACTTGCCTGCTCTCTCTTGTTTCAGCTTCCCTCACTCCCATCAGTCCATAATGATGCCGGAAGAGATGGAGTTTTCTTAAGGAGTATCCATGGAGAAATGGGCCCCACAGGTAAGTAGTATGATGGATCGTCCAGAAAGATCTAGAAAGAGGATGCCTTTGGGCAATTATAAACAAGGAAGAACAAAGGTCTGAGCACTAGAGGACAAGCAGTCACATTAGAATAGATTCCAAGAAGACAATGGTTACCTTGTCATTGTGGTATAAATGTTATCAGTGTTGTAGTTTGAAGTGTGGGAGAGGATGAGAGGACTCAGCAGGTAAAGGTACTTGCCATCACACCTGGCAACCTGATGTCAACCCCAGGGCCCATGTTGTGGAAGAAGAGAATTCATCCCTGCAACCGGTCCTCTGACCTCCACACAGGCACGGGGCAGGCACACATGTGTACACATACACAGAACATAAATGAATGTACACACACACAGAACATAAATGAAATACAAGTCTGGTAAGATTTTCAAAGACAGGATAAGGAAGAAGAGGTAGAGATATTAAATCTCCATCTCTAATATCATGTATATTTAAAATTGTGATATGTGCATATTGCTCACTCATGTCAAGGTCAGTGTGAGGAAGAGCCCCAGCAAGTTCAGCCTGCTGCCCTCTGGCCAGGGTCAGCAACTGGTGTGGGGCTGTTCAAGGAACAATTGCTGCTATGGTGAGCTTCTTAGCATGGTTTGATCTCCTCACGGTACACCCATAACTTTGTAAAACTATAAACTGCGAATAAGAGTGTGAGGGGAATTTGTGAAGTTGACGGCAGAGCTCTATGGACCCCCAGGTTGGTTCCATGAGTTCCCACGAGTCTCCAGCCTTCGGCCCCACATCTGTGCCGTCTACTTCCACCCCCCCCCCTTTGCCACTATCTGACTTGGATTTCTACACAATGTCTCAATTTACTTTCTGTCACTGACCATGATGTCTCGAATCTTCTCCTCCCCTCTGAACTTTTCTTAGACAAGTAACTCAAGTGATCCCAGATACATGACTTTAAACCAATAATTAAATGACACAGACTCTGTCACAACCACCAGTGTGCCTCTGTGACTTTGGTAAACTGCCTCGTCATTCATAGTTTTCCTGTTTGCAAAGCCAGACCTTGAACTGGATGGCCTTCAAGCTCCTTCCGTTTCTGACCTTCTATTGTTTGTACTTTGATCCTAAGGCTGAGCTGACAGAAGTAAATAGAAATAATCATACAGGAAGTGATATCATTTTCTCAATGGTTATAGAAAATAATTTACTGAAGGTTTGTATTGGACTCCATTCATTGAGTGAAGACATTTGAAACTCTACCTGAAACGGGAAGAATCAATGGTTCAGAGGTGAACTGAGGTGACTGAAAGCTAAGGAGGAGCTGAGGGCTCTGAAGTCATTGGATAAGCCAGTCCTGATCCAATGTGCCTTATGAATGAGAGATTCAAGTCTAGGAATAATGTTGGAGGGATGTCTTAACTCAAAGGAGGGAGTTTAGTTTAAATCTCCTACATTCTAGGAGAGATACAAAGTAGGTACAAATGAACAGAGGCAAAAGTTTCCATTAAGAAATAAGGGGTCCCGGGCCCAAAAATAGCTCAATGGGTAAAGGAACCAGCACCCACATGTTGGAAGGAGAGAAGTGACCTCTACATGCATGTTGTGACATATGAAGCCACACATAATAAATATGATCTTTTAAAAAGATGATCCAGTGATACAACAGTGGAATGAAAACTGAAGGTATGCAGACTTTCCTGGTAAGGGGAAAGACTATTGCAGTCAATAACAAAAGAAGCAGGGCCACGAGGTCATTTCATCTACCTGGACCAGAGGCTCGGATGTTGGTCAAAGAGGTAGTGACTGTCGCTCCATGACTGGGTGTGCTCCACGTCTGATGTGTGAGTGGGTGGGCACAAATGTAGAAATCAAAGACATTCTCCACAAGCCCCAAATGGTATAGAGTTCTCAAATTCTACCAGTTCTGTCTTAGGTCTCTGGGCTATCCAGCCTCTGGGTCCTGGCCGTCTGGGGGCATGGGTCTCAAGCTGAACGAGTCATTGGTTGGCCACTCCCAATTTCTGTGCCACCCATACCCTAGCACATTTTGTAGGCAGGGCAAATTGTAGGTTGAAGGTTATATGGCTGGTTTGGCATCCCAGTCCCTCCACTGGAAGCCTTGCCTGGTTACAGGAGATGGCCGGTGCAGGCTCCATATCCCCCACTGCTAGGAGCCTTAGCTAGGGTCACCCTCATAGATTCCTGGGAATTTCCATTACACTAGTTTTCTAGTTCATCCCCAAGATGCTCCCCCTCCATTCCAGTTGTCTCTCCCAGTACTCTGTCCCTCTATCCTTCCCACAACCTGTTCCCTCCTGTTCCAAACCCTCTCCCATCTCACCCCTCCTCCACTCATGATGTCTATTCTATTTTTATTTTTTAAAATTGGGCTGATTCTCAACTCTTATTTGTAGCAGATTGATCCTCATTTTAATACAAAATTTCTATCCTAAAACACTACTTAACTGTTACACTGTGTAGAGATGTCTCATGATTATTCCAAGCTTAGAAACTCCCATCTCAAGGGCAAGTCTGGTCCCACAGGCATACTTGTTCCTCGGATGATAAGCAGGGCACGTGGGAAGGACACTCCCACCAGAAGAGAGGTTGTGCCCTGTGTGTCCACAGCGCTGGGAAACGGGACACTCAGCACGTGTCAGATGAGAACATGAATGCAGGCAGGAACAGATGAACCAAGATGTTGGTGACTACCGAGTGGCGGTGTCTGAGAGGTTAGGCAATGCCCATGACAACCCACCTGTGTCAGCAGCAGAAGGTGGGCCATTCCCACTGGTAGCTAATGGTACATGCCAAGAATGTCCACTCAGGACAGACAAGACAGGTGGGGCATTCAGTATGCCAAACTATTGGACACGGTGTTAAAATCCCTTCTCTATGAAGTGGGAGAATGAATCCTGTTGCTGGCAGTGACTTGTAGGCAAAGGGATGTTAAGAAGAACAAGGGTGACAGGCAGGAAACACAGACAGTCTCTGGTAGGAAAGGACCTCACAGCACTCAGGACTCACGGAACATAGAGAAAGGGTCCCACTAGGTGACCCAAAGGCAGTACAGGAACCAGTTTAAAAACAAAACAGAGGCAAGACATCAGGGTCCAACTGTAGCTCTGGCTGGCCTGGGACTTGATACATAGACCAGGATAGCCTCCAGCTCACACAGATCTGCCTGCCTCTGCCTCCCAAGTGCTGGAATTAAAGGTGGGCACCACCAGTCCCTGGTAAGTGGTCTCCTCTGACCTCTGCTTCCTCATCTGTGACATTTGATGACTCATGATGCTCCAGGTCTCCTACGGAGTCTTCTCAGGGAGATCATGCATGGAAGAGGTCTAACTGGATCAGTGTCTCGCCCTTGGTAGAAATGCAGTCACTGTCAGCTCTCTATCCGTTTGTCACAGCAGAACCCAAGGAATACACTTTAATGGTGAGTCAATTTAGAGGAATGATTCCCTCTTTTGGGAACCTCAGGGCTCCACTGAGCCTAGAACATGTTCATCCAGGTCCCGATTTCCTGCAGAAACCCTCCCTAAACCCTCAGTCATTGGAGAGCCAGCCTACTGGAAGTATTGTGTTTTCAAGCTTAGGACTAGAATTAATTAACACAGCACACGGTCATCTGCCAATTGGAAGTGCAGTCTGGGTTTGGTAACTGGAGAAGACTTTGGTAAATTAATTTGTTATTACTTAGTAAACACTGGTCATTTGGCAGACAAATTGTTTAAAACAGAGGCCAGGAAGCAAACTCATCATAAGGCTTTTGCTGGCAAAAAGATTGAAAACCACAGAACCAGGGCAGCTGACCTCCTTCCAGATCCAGTATCTGGGATGTTTTTTTTTTTTTCCAAAAACACGGGAGAGGGACAGTGTGAGTTGCTGGGATGGCAGCTGGAGTGCTAGCTTGGAGCTGGCAAGACTTGGAGTGTTTGAAGGGGAGAAATGTCCAGGACTCCCTCCTGACACCTCAGCTCCTAAGACCTAGTTTACGGACAGGCTCTCCAGCATTCAAAGCCCGGAAGAAGAATGGGGCTTAAACTCCTTTGCTTAAATGGGGCTTAAACAGTCACTTTGCTGTCTTTTCTTTGGTGCCTTTGCTGGGGTAAAAGCCTTGGCCCTAGTCATTGTGAGTCCAGGAGGCACAGAGGCTCATGGGACTTGCTTTGCCTCTAATATCAACTCCAACCAGGAACTCTGAGGCTCATCAATAGTGCTTATTGATGCTCAGAGTAAAGTGACCCCTGGGACTTTCCTGCTTGGGACACGCAGTGGCCTCATTGGCAGTGCACATGGGTATACCGTGTACTGGTACTTTCCCGGATGTCGTAAATAAGATAGCTGCCCAAAGCAGGTCTGGAGGCCAACAAGCCACAGCCGGTGGGCTTCCCTACCGATTCCACCTTCCGGGAAAGAATGGCTGAGAGAGGGAGAGTTGTGGCACTTTGCAGTAGGAGGCATGACTGGCTGGCGGCGGCGGCGGTGGTGTTTCACTGCGGGCAGGTCCATGAGGGTTATAGGTTAGCCTGCTTCCGGTCTGACCTGTGCTCTTAGGACAGACCAAAGCAATGTGACTCATGCACCAAGGCCTTCTCTCCCTGAAGAAGGGCTTTGTAGGGAAGCCTGCTTCTGTCCTAAGCTCGGTCTCTAACTCCTAGCCCATCGGAGGAACAAGCCGTGTGCGAGTTTTACCGCACAGACGGACCCGTGCTGCCACGCCTTCCCCACTGTGATGGACTGTTCTCTCCGTGGGAGCTAATGAGACCTCTGGTCCCTTGCACTGCTTCTGTCAGGTGTCGGCTCACAGAGAGGAGGCAGCGCTCAGGCAGTTCACAGACCCAGTTCTGATCTTTGTGCCTCTCTCTGGGCTAAAATGCGAGTGTTTTCCGAGGGAGACAGAAGAGCCAGAGGCAAGCCTTCCCATCATCTGCAGTGGTGCCCAGGACGCCCGAGGCCATGGCTGGGCTAGGAAGACCAAGGATGCCTTTGGGAGACTGAGGGAAACCAGAGCCGAGGCAGGCTGTGGCCCCTTCGCTCTGTACACCCCACACCCATCTCTCGGCGTGGGCGCCACCAGCCACGCCGATGAATTCCACAGGTGCGGTCTTCCCGTGTTAGCAGCCATCGACTATTGTCACCCTCCTTCTCCCGGCCATCTGCCCTGGCATGTCAGATCAAAATAAATCAACAAACACGAAGTGGCAGGCAGCTGCTACCTCGGGGATGTTGCAGCCAGCGCTAGACTGATTTAATTTTTGTTGTTGTTGTTTTGAGACGGGGTCTCATGTAGGCCAGCTTGGCCTTGAACTTGCTACGTAGTCAAGGACAATCCTGCATTCCCGATCCTCCTGCCTCCTCAAGTGCTGGGAGCGCAAGCGTGTGCCACCACACTCAGCTCACGTAGCTGGATAGAGTACAGGAAATGTGTAGTTTTACAAGCACAGAGAACGTATTAGAGGGTATGAGGGTTCTTGGGGGGTTCAGAGCTACTAGAACTAAACGTCCCATTTGAAGGAACCGGAAACAGGCAGGTTCAACCTGCAACCCGCAGGCCACGTGCAGTCAAGCATAGCCATGAATATGCTCAACACGAAGTCATACATTTTTCCTACGTTGGCCCACGCCAGCGTGCACAGTCTATGCTCTGTGGACTTCAAAGCCTCTTGCTCTTTCCCTTTCCTCCTTGCCTCTGACAGCTCTCCACAGAGGCCACTCACCATCTCCCAAAGCCCTTTCTCCCCTGAGTCAAAACCCATTAAACGGCCCCACGCCTGGAGCCACGGTTAAAAGCCACACCAATGGCTTGGTGGTGGGGTGTGCCACCCTCGCACAGAGTGCCTGAGGAGGCGCAGAGGGATGCATTTCGCTGGCCTGCTCATTTTTAAAAGCCATTTCTAGCGCTTTTCCCCTCCACTGCATCCCACCCTGTGACGGGAACGCTTAAGGATTAATTGGCTGTGGCATCCCTAACATCTGCTCCCTGTCCCTGTGGAGGGCTCCTGACTAACTTTAGGCTTAGCCTTAAGTTCTCTGACTTAGAAAGTGAAGACAAGGGCCGGTCGGAGTGGGAGCAATTTCAGCGGTTTGTCCTCGCCAGCGTCTGCCGCTGACGTCGGAAGCCACAGTCAGTCGCCCGCTCGCTCGCTCTTGCTGGCTTCTCGGCTGGCCTTCCCGTGACACAAGGACATTTTCAAAAGCAGCTCGAGGCTGGTGAGCAGCTGCTTGCTGCTCCTTCAAGAGCATGCTAACAACAGTGTTGCATTGGCTTGCGGTTTGTGCTCTTCTGAGGGGTGTGTTTCACGGAGCCAAGTGGCCTTGTGCCCTCACCTCTTCCTGTCTTCCAGGTTCCGTGAAGGACCACCATTCCCCTACCCCAGGCAGCTTTATACACTTCCTTCAGCTGAGACATGGAGGCCACAGCCTGACTCACACCTTCAAAAATCAGAAGCAAGGTGGCTACACTTGAAGACAGTGGAGAATAGATATCCCCCAAAGCCAACAAGAACTACTACAGGCCCTAAGCAATGAGACATCTTGGGGAGCAGGAAACTGGCTTTGAGCCCCTGAAGAGTGCAGGGAGGGGTCCCCAACAACCACCAGGAGGCAGGCATTTCCTCTAAGACATGGGATCTGGGAGAAAGCTCCCAACAGGAAGACTCTTGGAGAAGCCCAAGAAAATGCCTCACAAAACAAACAGACTTCAATATATACGGACCTGAAGGACACAAGGCCAGCTCAGAATCCTGGCTGGCTCCACCTTTACCATTCTTTCTCACCCTTCTCCATCCACAGGTCAGACATACCAAGTGAGAAAAGAGGTATAGTACAGCAGGAATCTTAAAAAGTTCTTATTAATAAAATCAAACCTGAGGCAGGTATTGGGGTGAACGCTGGAAGATCAGAGAGACAGAACAGGCCACAGCCACCTCACCTCGACAGTTCCTCAGCTGACCCTGTTTCCTCAGATCGGAAGCCTCTGTGTCCTCATCCAGAATGGATTTCAGCTGAACTGCTGCTCCAAAGCCTGAAACCTTAACCAGCTAAAAGCTTCTAGTTTCTGGTCTTCACACCTTTATATCTTTCTGTTTTTTCCATCACTCCCTGGGATTAAAGGCTCACTTCTTGGGATTAAAGGCGTGTGTCACCATGCCTGGCTGTTTCCAATGTGGTTTTGAACTCACAGAGATCCAGAGGGATTTGTACCTCTGGAATGCTAGGATTAAAGGTGTGAGTGCCACCATTTTTTAGCCTCTGTATCTAGTGACTGTTCTGTCTCTGACCCCAGATAAGTTTATTAGGATGCACAATATTTTGGGGAACACAATACCACCACAGTATAGCTCTACCATGAATTTCTTAAAGTGGACAAAATTGAACTGAGACTGTTTTGTGAATTCAAGTGGCCACATCAACAGACAGTGAGCTGGTACATTACGGGCCTGTTGGCATTCTTACCTGGGATGGAGAGTACATTTCCATCTAATATACTTAAAGTTGGAAGAGAAAGTGAACTTGTGGACTGATCATCCCAGAGGTTATGCTGTGGCCTTGCCAGTCACAGACATGATAGCAAGGAGTTCAGACCCTGTGGCCCTCACTTTCTTGTGGACCCTCAGAGAAAGCTGGAGGTGTAGGATTGGGGCAAGGGGTTGTCCCCTCTGCAAACAAAACTTTCTCTGCTTTCCTAGGAGAGTTCCAGCTAAGCCTCCATTTGAAGGGGAGATGGAATCTCATTTCATTTGAAAGATCGGAAAGCTCATGTTCTGTCTAGCCTCAGCTACTCAGTGGAGGAACAAAAGTCCCAGGGGACTAGTGAGCCACCAACATAGAGGAAGCAAGAGCCACAGTTCTGACGTGGAGCCCCGGGTCCTCTCCATAGCAACCTTGACCGCCCATCTAGGGACCCTCTGTGTCATCAATCAGATTTCTGAGGAACTATTCCACTTTAGATTTGGCAAGTCAAAGTAAAAAATCAATGTAAGGGTGGGAAAAATGAGACTGGATCAGTGAGCAGAGGGTGGAGAGGGAGGGCCTGGGAGGCATGGGAGGTCTCAGTGTTTGCAACAAGCTCGGCTAAGAGGCTCTCCTGACCTTCTCAGTGCCTGGTCTCCGGGAAGTCTATGAAAAAATGGATTCTCAGTGCCCATGGATACAACCCCGACTCGGAACATTCAGCAAGGGTCTTTGTGGTCTAGTTGCCAGGCTAAGTCTGGACCCACACAGTGAGCATATTTATTGGGCCAAGAATGTTTGGCATGTGGTAGATTTTGGTCCTCGTTGCTCCCACTGACTGAAGGCCATTCTGGAGGGATCTAACAAGGCAGCCTGCAGGCTGGGTGGTGACTCACAGCTTTCAGCTAGAAAGGGCAACTTCCAGGCTGTGGAAAATACCATTAAGAAATGACAGCTGAGGGGACCCAGGACATAGCCCATTTCTAGAAGACCATCAGAAAGACAGGACAGGGGTGGAGAGATGGCTCCATGGTAAGGAGCAGACTCACAATTGCATAAGCACATACTCACGTACTTAAAAATTAAGTCTAAAAGCGAGACAGGACATTTGCCTGCACAAGAGACGGCCCCCAGCATGAGCTGGCCAAGGAAAGTCCCAAGAAATGGGTGCTCTATAACCTGAAACACAGAAAGGTCAAAGTTCAGGGGATGACGCTACTGAGGTAAGGGTCTAACTCATCATTCTGGGGGCAATGGTCTCAAAGAACAAAGGGGAAGCTGTGCTCACTTGAGAATCTCCGGGTTCTCCAGCACAGACCCTTACAAGGAGGTGCTAGGACTTCAAGAGCGGTCCAATTCTCAGGACATCTAAATCTAGGGCACACTACCTGTGTGCTCCTACATGAACGTGGTTCACAACCGGGGTCAATTTCAGCTCCTAGGGGTTGATTGACAGCATACAGAGATGGTCTGGTTGTCACCTCAAGGAGTAGGTATGTGGGTGCTATGAGCACCCAACAGACCAAGGAAACCACTAAACGTCACACCACAACAACGAGCTAGCCAGCCCCAAAATGTCAACAAAGCCAAAGTTGAGAGACTTGATCCACATGATAGGGCTTGCCCAATGTCCTTGGTGAAACATGTCCAAGTGCACAAGACAGGAGACACCAACCGGCACGTGTTGCAGTGCTCACAGCCTGGAGGACAGTCCGACCATGGAACTGGATACTGCTATGTAAGCGTGCACAGTCACTGTGCATCATAGCACAGTCTATTAAGAGGAAAGGCAGTGATCATCAATCCATTGTGTAACAAGCTAATAATAGCAAAATGTGCTCACACCTTGCACACCTGCTGCCATCCATCCTGGTATCTCTTACTGTCCCTAGGGGACTATTTTGCAGTTGCAAAGCATGGAAGAATCTTTGCATCCTCAGCCCCAGACTCTAAGATTCTCTTCATATGGCTCCTAATATGCAATTCCGATTTCTCTTGTAAACCACCAAGCTTATGGAGCCATGTCTGGATCATTGTTTTTTTTAATTAATTAGCATATATTAATTGTACGAAACAATAGATTTCATTATGACTTTTTCTCACATGCATCTCATTCTCACCACCTCTCTGATGGCTAATCTTGGTTGTCAAAGTGACAAGCAAGGGAGAGGGAATCTCAACTGAAGAGCTGACTCCATCAGAATGGCCTGTGGGCATGTCTGTGGGGCAGGGTCTTGATCTTGAATGGATGTAAAAAGCTCCAGCCACTGTGGGTGGCACCATCCCTCAGTAAGTGGACCTGAGTTATATAAGAAAGGCAACTGAACATAAGCCACCAAGCAGCATTCCTCCTGTGTTCCTGTGGTGTGCTGCCTCGGATTATTTCAGGTTCATCCCCAGGAGCAGGACAGCCAGGTCATCTGGTCATTCTCTTCTTAGTGTTTCATTTTGTTTTTATTGAGGAAACTCCATATCGACTGTCATTGTGATAACACTAACTTCAATTCTCTCCAGCAGTAGAGAAGGCTCCCCTCAACCCTATGTCCACACCAGCATTCGTTGCTTGTTTCCTGAAGACAGCTGTTTGGACACGGTTTTTCAGGTGTAACCACCAGTGGATACAGGAGAGGCTCAGAAAAACCAGAAGCACACCATTCTCAAGGGTCCTAGAGAGAGAAGGCACAGCAGACATACAGATATTGCGAGAGAAAAACCCAAGGCGGGGGAGGGACTTACTTGGGCCATCACCTATATTGGGGTTCTCGGAGAAAAAGCGAGGCAAGACGGGCGCTCAGGCTCACAAGCATGGAGGATTCTCGAAGTTGTCTTCAAACTCTGATAGTAGTCCTTTATTGCCCAGCAAGTGTCTTGCAACAGCTGAAGCAATATGCAATATTCTTTTCGTTTCAGAGAGTCCCCTCACGAGGCTGCAGAGGGAGCTCAGTGGTTAAGTGTGCTTGCCACACAAGTGTGATATCAGATCCCCAGAACTCACGTAAAAGCTGGACACATAGTGTGAGCATCTGTTATGGCAGCACTCCTAATGGGAGATGGGAGGTGGAAAGAGAATTCCTGGAAGCTCCCGGGACAGCTATCCTGGTGTACACAGTGGAAACATAACAAAACCCTGTCTCCAACACACTAGAAGGCAAAGACTGACACCTGACGTTATTTTCTGATCTCCATTCATGTATTAGTTCACCCTCGTGCATGTATTCACACACATGATTGTGTGCATGCACACACCCATTGTACACACTCATGCAAAAACAGTGAAACAAGAACGAGACAGAAACATGGGTTTTAACCTTTCACCTTCTGACTACTTGTTTACAAAGAGGTGACTATCACCCCACTCTGACCTGGCATCATAGTCCTACCTCTCAACTCTAAGTGTGAGCACATGTATCCCCAAGAAACCGCTCCCAACCTGTTCAAATTGCAGTTCCCACTTCTGTTTATTCTTACTCAGTTCCATGCACTCAGAAATTAGACACACACACACACACACACACACACACACACACACACACACACCAAATACTAGCAGAGAGAGCACACCCCAGCATTCTCACTGTCTAAGCCGGGTGCCGCCAGCTTGCTTTCCACACTGGAGACAGATCTATTTGTTATTTTGAGCAGTGCCCGAGACTACACTTCTGACACATAGCAAAGCGGGAATTATCTTTAGGAGCAGAAAGACAAGGGCACACTGCCAGTCTGATAAGATAAAAGCAGTGGCAGATAAAAGCATTTATAAAGGGGGATGATGGCTGTCTGCCAGGCACAAGGAAAGCATGCCCACCCAATAGAAAGAGGGATGAGAAGTCAAGCCCGTTCTGGGATGGATGAATGTCCATAGCCTTCCCAGCAAGAATGTTCAGTTCAAAGAGAACAAAGCAGAATGCTGGTAGTTTAGGGACATTGTGTGGCCTTGAATGGTATACTTAACTCTTGAGAAACAGCTCCTGTGTAGAAAAAAAGGGGGCATCCCTGTTTTCTCTTGAAATCATATAGTGACTTTGGGATGGGGGTTCCTTATGTGTTTGTTTTAAGATTTACTAGTTTTACTTATGTGTCTGAGGGAATGCCATGTGTGTTCACGTTCCCATGGAGGCCAGAAGAAGGCATCAGATTCCCTAGAGCTGGAATTAATGGAGGCAGCTGGTGTGGGTCCTCTGGAAGAGCAGCAAGCACTCTTAATCCCCTGAGCCTTCTCTCTGGTCCTATAGTGACTTTCAAGTGTTCACACGGGTTAAGCGCTGTGTGAGCTGAGACATCCTTCATATGAGATTGCATTCCCAAACTAGATCCTGGAAGGGTGGCTGGGTGTGGTGCCAGTTCTCAGGAGGCAGAGACAAGAGGATCAATCACAGTGAATGGGAGGCAGCCTTTCTACATAATGAGTTCTAAACCAGTCAGGGCCACAGAGTGACACCCCACCTCAAAACAATAACAGCAGTAACAATAAAAACCCTAGCAAACAAACACCTTCTAGGGCTGGAGAGATGGCTCAGTGCTCTTGAGACTCTTGCACAATGGCCTGAGGATCTGAGTTCGATCCCCAGATCCCATAAGGTGACAGGAAAGAACCAAATCCTGAGAGCTACCCTCTGACTTCCACACTTGTGCCATGGCATGTACACACACACACACACACACACACACACACACACACGAAAGGAAAAGTAAAAAAGAATATAGTAACAGACAGCTCATATTTCAAAAGGCAATAAGGAGGGTTATAAACACAGAGACATTGGTTATTGGAGTTGATGTGTGACCCCAAGGGTTATCTTGATTGGTCCTTTGATATGACAGGTATAGAAACTGGAGTCTTGGTAAGTTAAGTGCCAAGGTCAGAGGGCAAAGCCCAATTTAGGCTTTCTGTCCTGCCACACCAAAATGATGTCTTTGATACAGGTTTCCTTCAAAGCTTTCCTTAGCCCATCTCAGCCTTGGTTGGACCCATGGCTGAAGGAAGACTGGAAGATAAGCGGACAAGCCTGCTCATCAGCTGATCCAGAAGGTGGGAGAGGGTCTCAAACATTAAGGAGAGTATTGACAGATCTCAATTCTTTATCTCACCTGGCAACATTGAACAAGAACAGATAGGTGACGGGGCGGGGGGGTACTCCAAAGAAAACCCTGCAGGCTACCCAGGTAGGCTCCACTGGGAATGAAGACCTTGGAGACCCAGGATGCAGTGGCTGGAAGTAGAGGTAGATCTGCAGGGCAAGGCTTCACGCCTAGCTCAACACCCTGCTTAGAGCTCTTGGCCAGGAATGCAGGTCAGAGGTGGTTGGGTTGCACTCTGCCCCATTCAGTTTCATTTTCAATCATTGATTTGATCACAGGGCACATTGGGATCTGTCTTACAGAGATCGATCTGAGCAGCCGATACCTTAAGACGGATACTGTGTTATGATGGGATTAATTTGGAGACTGAAGAGAGAAGGTGACCAGACTGTGGAAACAGCATGGAGTAGGGTCCTTTGGGGCCCCTGAACTGTATCCTGCTCCCTCTATGGGCACTCTCCCCACACACATGGTCCAGTCCCAGCTTCTGCATCCCCCAGTGGCCAGTCCTGGAGCAGTCCTCTAGCCTGGATTTGACAAGAGGAGTATGTGGCAGCAGAGGGCGTGATGGAAGGATCTGCCATGGACTTAAAGAAGCCTGGAGAGGAAGGGGGGTTGTGACGGTGAAAACGACAGGATTTCAGTGGTGACCTGTGAGAGAGGCCTGAGAAGGTGTTCTAAACTATCCGGTGACACAGGAATAATCTTGAGTTTGAAGGCTGTGTTGGTTACTTTTTGTGTTGCTATGATAAAAATACCGGACAAAAGCAACTGAAGGAGGGAAGGAGGAAGAAAGGGAGGAGGGGAAGAGAGGGAGGGGGATGGAGGAGAGGGGGGGAGGGAGGAAGGAAGGGAGAGAAGGAAGGAAGGAGGGAGAGAGAGGGAAAGAGGGAGGGAGGGGAGAGGGAGGAGAGGGGAGGGAGGGAGGGAGGGAAGCTGGGCTTATTTGGGTGCATACTGTAAGGATGCAGTCCATCACGGCAGGAAGGCATGGCGGCAGTGACTTGAGGCGGCTGGTCACATTGCATCCACAGTCAGGAAGCAGAGAGCAATGAGTGCTGGTGCTCAGCTCACTCCTTTTTATTCAGTATGGAACCTCAGTCTGTAGAATGATGCTGCTCACAGTTTAGGGTAGGTCTTACCATCTCAACTAACCCAATCTAGGAACTCCCTAGCGTTTTTCTAGATACCCATAGGTATGTTTCCATGGTGATTCTAAATTCCATCAGGTTAACCGTCAAGATGAACCATCAGAAGAGCATAGCTACCCACTCACAGGCTTTGAGACCAATTGTAAAATAAGCCCACAAAAGACATGGAAGGGATAATGTACAGTGTCTACGAAATGGCTCACTGGGAAGCCCACTAAGCCTCATGTCAGTTTTCCAAAAAAGAAGTCCAAATCTGCTTGGGGCACCACGCAAGAACACTTGCTCTGCCAGCCCTGAATGTCCAGAAGAGCCGCCGTGAATCCTCTCTTCCTATTTATCTCAGTGATGAGTTCTCGGAGCCCTTGGTCTGCCAGTTCCATTATCTTTACCCGTCTCTGACAAAAGCGTAGCTGTGGGGAGAGATAATATTTTCTTAATCAAATGAGCATCAGTGAGCTCCATGCGGCAGCTCCTGACACGTTTTTAATGACTTGATTCTTTGGTAGTTTCTCTTAGGAGAAAGCCTTCGGGTGTGATATGAATATGAAGGACTGTGCTGCATTTATTCATCTTCTATTTTCTTTTAACTTTAAGGGGTAGCTGTAGAAACTCCTGAACCTTTCGGCTTCCTACATAGACAACAGAGAGAAGGAATTTTAATTATTAAGATGGTTTGATCCATTTCAACTTCCAATTTGGAGCTTCAGGCATAAAAACGTAAGATATTTTAGAACCTAAGTCAGAGTCTGTGCTCTGCTCCCTGGCTGCTCTCTTGTGGTCTCCAGTCTTATAATACAGAGATTATTGTGGGACCTTCCTCATAAGGGCACTGTGAGAATTATATAGAATAATGGGCACAAATATTTGATACAGAGCCTGTTGGAAACATGTTGGGTTTTGTTTGTTTGTCTGGGTCTGTTTTGTTATCTATAAAAACCAAAGAACTGTCACAAACTTCCATTCTACGTCTCCTCTGTAGAAACAGCCCAGTGACATTTTTGGTGTCACCAGGGCCGCTGCAGTACTGAAGCTCCGCTTGCGTCCATGGCCTTGTGAAAGCAACTCGGAGGAAAGGACAGAATTGCAAAAGGAAAATGTCAACCACAAAATCTGCCACAGCAGCCTCAGAGAAATAAGGTAGTGCTTTGGAGAGAGAGAGTTGGATGCGCTGCAGGAGGACTTCTCGGGAGCGCGGAAGGGATGGCTGGCTTGGCCGTTATGAGCAACTGCTGCTCTTGCAGAGGACCCGAGTTCAGTTCCCAACATCCACGTCAGACGTCTCACAATCAGCTAGTGACTGCAGCTCCGGGGCCTCAGATAGCTTAAGTAATTTACTCAAGATAATGTAATTGAGAAGGATCTGACTGGACCTCAGCTCCAAGACATAGTCACATTGCCAGAGACAGCCAGGTCCGTAGACGAGTGATTCCAAGCCGTGTCCACTGACTGGCCACCAGGACTTACGTAGCCGGAAGGTAAGTCTATTCTGCTCTGCAAATGTGGGGCTTTCGATTTATTTGTATTTTCTTGGTACAGAGAAACATTGAGCGAATAAATGAAACCCCTCCGCTAATGACGCACCTTCAGGGTAGTGCAGGTCCATCTGTTTGCATTGCTTTCCTCCTTGATTTATTCATTCCACAGTGATGTAGTGTCAGCTATGAGCTGCTCTTCTGGGAATGAAACAAATAGGCTCGTGCAGAACTGTATGCTCAGTCACAGGAGACAGACAATGAGCGAGCGAGAGACGAATGTGCCAGCCGGTAAATAAACGCAATCATGAAAACATAAAGACATTTTTAGACATTTTAAGTGTGTGTGCACACCGTGCATGCAAGTGCATGCCCACCCCTGCAGAGGCCAGAAGACGGCATTGGAAGCCCTGGAACTGGGGTTACAGGTAGTTGTGAGGTACCCAAGATGGGTGCTGAGAACCTAACTCAGGTCTCCCATGAGAGCGACACATGCTCTTAACCATGAGCCGTCTCTCCAGTCCCAAAGCTGTGTTTTGTTTTTGGAAGAGAGAAGGGGAAGACAAAAGTTAAAGGAAGCACTACAGCTACTGTGCAGACAAGGCATGCTGGGAAACAGCGGTTTAAGGCGGAAGCAAAGAGAGCAGCAGCAGTCCCTGCAAGGAGGGTGGCTGGTGGGCATGCAGGAGGCGACAGCTAGTCAATTCTTGCTTTGAGAATTGAAACAACGTAGTTTGCTGAGAAGTTGGTGAGAAACGTATGTGCTGGGAACTGGACTCAGGCCCTTTGCAAGGGCAGCAAGTGCTCTTAACCACCAAGCCATCGCTAAGCCCCCTAGTAAGAAAAGGAGAGGTGAGCGTCGGTTATCTGAGTGGATTCTAAGCGTAGCCACTTGCATTTAATGAAATCTCACCCACGGAGTTGACGAAGACACAATGAAACAGTGAGGTTTGAAGATGCTGGCCTGGAAGGTAGAAAGATACAGCCACAAGTCAAAGCCTGTGGGCAGCTAACCAAAGCTGAAGGAAGTCAGAACACATTTTCCCCTGGAGACCTCCCCTGCCACGGCGGGAGGCACAGTTCTGCTAACACCCCGATATCAGCCCATTGTTATTTGCCCCAAACCCATGGCCTCCAGAACAATGAGAAGATCTGTTGTTTTGAGCTGCCTGGGTTGTATCTAGCCACAAGAAATTAATACAGATTTCTTCTCACATAGTTTCTTATCCCACACAAGATACTTCCAGTTACACGGCTGATATGGCCCCTGAACACGGGTATGTGTACGGGTGTTTTGCAAAAGATGCTGTGGTTTTTACCTGTGTTATTTGTGCTATGCTGTAGCTCTTACCCAATTTTGGTGCACAAGTCCATGTTACGAGTGTCCACACTGTCACGTGGAAACACATCTGGTCTGATGGTCCACCTGCTGCAGAACATTCTGTACCATGCCTCTGCCAGATATCTCTTGTCCATTCCCAGAAACTCTCTGTTGCCAAAACATCAGATTTGAATCAAATCCAAAGTTTTGCTTCACCAAGAAGTAGATAACAGCTAATGTGCTAACGTAATCCTTTTAGGATCGTGTTAAAACAGATAAGACAGCTGGGTCCAAAATTTGATTAGAGCGTAATCCATCAGCCCTGGGCATGCATAAGTGGATGGCAAAGTTGCTTCCCAGGTCCCCGGCCATCTTTCCTCACAGGTCTCTGTCCTGGCCTCTCCTCTCCCCCAACTGATCTGAGGGAGCCAACGGCCTAACAATTCCAGCTGTCCAGTGTGACAGATTGCAGCAGAAGTCAGCAAGTGTTTTCCCTCCAGCACCCTCTGGGAAATCCATGCAACTCCATGTTCGTTGTCCGCCCTTGTTTTCAAAGCTGCAGTGTACAAATACCAATTGACACATGCCATGTCTCAAGTGTTAGTGTCAAAAAGCAGTGTGAGGATGGAGAAGGGCAGAGGCAGACCCTGGGAGGGGAAGGAGCCAATGCTATTTAACCAGAAGAAATGTGGGTGTGATGGTTTAGATCCCAGCAAGGGAAGACAGGCTGGTGAGGGACAATGTCAGGGTCAAGGGACAGACCCAGGGGACTCCTCTGGTAGGAAACCCCTGACTCAGGCTGGAATGGGATTTTTGTTTTGTTTTGTTGTTGGTTTGTTTGTTTTAACAAGTGAGGAGAGAGGCAATTCTTGCACAGCCTTGGAGATGGAGAAGGGGATGGGAATGGACTCCATCGGCCTTCCCCAGCAGACTCCAGCCATCATCTGTTTCATTCTCTCCACTAGTTGAGCACCCGATCCACATGCCTTCACTCTCCTCTTTGGTCAGGATAAAGATTCAAAAGCTATAACCACCCAGGGGCTGGAGAAATGGCCCATGGTTAAGGGCACTTGCTGCTCTTACAGAGGACCAGAGTTCGGTTCCTAGCACCCACGTTGGGCAGCTCACAGCCATCTGCAATTCCAGTTCCAGAGGTTCCAACACCCTCTGCCAACCTCCAAGGGACCTGCACTCATGTCCTCATGTACACGTGTATACACACACACACACACACAGAGAGAGAGAGAGAGAGAGAGAGAGAGAGAGAGAGAGAGAGAGAGAGAGAGAAAGAGCCACACACATGAGCATTTAATTAAAAACAAGAAAAAAATCTTTTTTTAAAAAAGTACCTGCCACAAATTAACTTAAAATAGATCATAGAACTAAGTGTAAGAGCTAAATGTAAAACTTTCAAGGAGAAAAATTTTGTGACCTTGGATTAGACAAAGATTTCTTAAATATAACATCAAAGCATGAGTCACAAAAGGGGAAAAATTGACTTTATCACAATTAAACAACTTTTGCTCCTCAGAGGATACTATTAAGAAACGCAGATACAAGCCACAGACTGGCAAAGTGTTTTAACCCTTACCTGATAATGGCTTACATCCAAAACATGTAAAGAATCCTTATGAGTCCATGAGATAAGACATGAATAACTATTTATCAATGACATAATGGCCAACGTCCTCATTTTATTTCTTTGCTATGATTAAAATGCCCTAACAAAAGGCAACTTGAGTGAGAGAGAATTTATTTTAGCTCACAGTTCTAGGTTAACAGTTCACCACTGCAAGTAAGTCAAAACGGCAAGATCAGCCGGGTGGTAGTGGCGCACGCCTTTAATCCCAGCACTCTGGAGGCAGAGCCAGGCAGATCTCTGTGAGTTCGAGGTCAGCCTGGGTTGGGCTACCAAGTGAGCTCTAGGAAAGGCGCAAAGCTACACAGAGAAACCCTGTCTCGAAAAACCAAAAAAAAAAAAAAAAAAAAAAAAAAATGGCAAGATCTTAAACCGCCTAGCCTTGTCACATCCACAGCCCAGGAAGGAGGGAGAATGAACGCAGGCGTGTGTACTTGTTTGCTTGTGCTCAGCTTGGTGGCTCTACTCATATACAACTATGGACTCCATGCCTAAGGAATGGGGCCACCCACAGTGGCCACACCTTCCCACATCAATTGTTTATCAGGACAATGCAACACAGATGTGTCCACAAGCCAACCCAATGCTGAGAGTTCCTCATTGAGACTTTCTGAGTGATTCTAGGGTGTGTCAAGGCGACAAAACTAACATCACAGTCAGTGTATACGTAAAACCCAGACATTAAGGAATTGCAGAATGACACTACAGTGAGGGATTGCCATACAGCTACCAAAATGGCTAATGACCAGTAAACCACATACCCAATGTTTGCAATGGCATTGAAAAACTGGAATATTAACATATTATTGACAAAAAATATGAAATGACTACATTAGAAAAAAGCTTGGTACTTTCATTAAAAGGTAAGCATACATCTGTCATATAACCCAGAATTCCACTCCTTGGTATATACACAAAAGAAATAGAAACTGATGTAGACACAAAGACTCATTCATGAGCATGGTCCATCATGGAATGGAAGGCAGGAACATGAGGCAGCTGGTCACACCACAGCCACATGATGAATACTGTGCTTAGCTCACTTTTTTCTTTATGCAGTCTGGGATGCCAGCCCACGAGACAGTGTCAACCTCAATTAATCCAACCTAGATAAACCTTCACAGACATGCTAGTCTAGATCCCGTCAAGCTGACAACTGACATAAGCCATCATAAATATAAAAAGTCTGTAGCTGAAAGTTTTCCTGTGTCCCACCTGGTTCATAGCCCAAGTCCTCTCAGACCCAAGTAAACGCACAGAGGCTTATCTTAATTAAAACTGCTCGGCCATTAGCTCAGGTTTTCTACTGACTAGCTTTTACACTTGAACTCAGACCATTTCTATTCATCTATATGTTGCCACATGTTCCGTGGCTTTACCTGTGTGCCATTACATGCTGCTCCCTGGACGGTGGACTGGCGTCTCCTGCTCAGCCTTCCTCTCCCAGAATTCTCCTTGTCTGCTTATCCCACCTATACTTCCTGCCTGGCTACTGGCCAATCAGCATTTTATTTATCAACCAATCAGAGCAACACATTCACAGCATACAGAGCAACATCACCCATCAAAAGTCCCCTTCCCAAGGGCTCATGTTTTGAACACTTGGTCTCTAGCTGGTGCCGCTATTTTGGAAAGTTCTAGAAAGTTTAGGAGGTGAGGCTTGCCGGAAGAAATATGTTGCCATAGGTGGGACATTGAAGGCACCTCTTTCTGTCTGCTAAGAAGTAGAGAACAGCCCTGCGTGTGCTCCTGCTGCCCTGACATCCTGCCTTCAGTGCGCGGGGCCAGTTATGGTGGACTGAAGCCTCCAAGCCCCTCCTCCTTCCAAGTTGTTCTCTTGGGTATTTTTGTCACAGCAACATGAAAGCAACTCATATACCAATGCTCACACGTCTGAAATAAAAGTTCAAACAGTATCTACACTTAGCTCATATGACACTCTATCCTATACTATTCACACATATGTATGTGTCATGGCGCTGCCGTTTGAAAAACAGTGTATGCACCTTCCCAGGTTTATCTTCAATAATCTGCTGTGTAGCA